CCTCCTTCTAGAGTCCGGTTATTGGATAGCAGAGCTGCGTAGGAGGGAAAGAGCCACTCATAGGGACAAAAGCTGTGTCAGCCTCTGCATGTCAATGTTCAGCTGATACGAAAAACGGTTCTGGTATTGAAAGGAAGTAGAGTGCGTTCAAAAAGGAGAAATGACTGTCTCCAGAATTTTTTCATCTAATGGAGCAATCCCGTGAAAAATGCTCACGCTTTCGCTGTCGATAGAAGACCAAGAAATCTATTTACCTTCTTAGATCTGAAATTTAAACAGATAATGAATGATTGTCGGTGTTGGTATTGGTGCAGAGGGCACATCGGCGACGGGGGGGGGCATTTTGCACTTTTGCTACTTCCCATCGACGTGTCGACCCATCTAGACAGCCTCTTCTCGAGTTGACAGGTTTTACCATGATGGCTTGACGAGCTTGCTCCAGCTTCACAAGAGTTCACAGGTTTCACCAGAGTGAGACTTGTAAACCGGAACTAGTGAAGCAAAGAAAGTGCAAAATGCACCCCCGTCGCCGAACTGCGCCGGTGCAGACCCTTCGCCCTTTCTCCGAATCAGTGCCTGCCTTTCTCCAAGTTTTTCAATTCGGCGGAAAAATGATACTTGTATCTGTGGAAGAATGGCTCTAGTAGCAACTCAGTATGCTCATCAGAAACTTCTTCTTGTCAAGGAACAAGGAAGCAACCGGTTGCAGTCACTAATTCTGCATTGATTTTCTATTGCATTTACTAATCAGTACCACCTTGGCTTCCCTAATCATGAGAAGCTAAAAGGCTTCGTTGAATAGAAAGGCTAAGTGTTTTCTAGGTTTCGTGGGAGTCATCGGCGCTAGTAGCCTTCAAGGTGGCCTTTAAAGGACTAACTGTGCACAACCAGAATTAATTACACCGTTAAAACTGCTGCCTCAGCTTGAAGGGGAAGGAACTTAAAGTGAGCCCATTTCAGTTCCATTAATTACAATTTTGCATAGTGGATTGCTATGAATGCCCCCTCCAAGGTTACTAGAACCGAGAAGACCTTTGTTATCATTTGCAATTGGTTAATAAGGTTGGGCATAACTGCTCTGATTGGCTATTTGCTGAAAGTATTGCAAACTACCGCACTTTTGAAAAGCTGAAGATTCACATATGGATGATTATTTTGTTCCACCAACATCCATTGCTCAGGTGATTTTATTTAAGCTCAGATAGAAGGCTTATTATAATTTTCGAATAAAATCTGGTACTGAGGAGCGAATCATTTTCTTGAGTAGGTCAATTTCTGAGGGACTTCATAGACCACATATTTATCTGGAAAGTTTTACATCTCGATCAGCACTACGCTGGTGGTCCTTGTCAGGAGGCTGGGTCTGGTCCAAGTTGGTGAAAGCAACTTATAGACTCTCTCATGAAAGTATCCCCAGTTATCGGCCAATAAAGTATAAGATACTTACTTTACTTTGATACTTTGATGATCCATCTTCATTGGCGGTTTTCGCAATGTGGACCACATTCGCTCCATGTCTTTCTGCAATGTGCAACGGTCATCCAGTGAGGTAAAATCCTCTTTGTTTGAACGAAAAAAAAATTTTTTTGAAAAACATCAGACCAGCGAGTAGCGGGACGCCCAGGTGTTCGTTTGGTATCTCGAGGATACCAGTACGTAATTCTGGTCGTCCACCTGTCATCCTGGCGACGTATCACGTGTCCTGCCCATTTATGTCTTGCGGCAGCTACATAGAAGGATGGGTCTCGAATTCTTGATTCTCTTCGGATGTCGTTACTGCTTAGTCTTTGCTGCCATTGCATCAGCTTTGTCTTTTTCACCAGCGATCTTTCCAAAGCCCGATGAACGGTTCTTAGCGATTTGTCAACACCTTTGTTCGTTGCCCATGTTTCAGTGGCGTAGCATAGAGCAGGGAGCACGGAAGCATCGAAAAGATTGGCACGTACTAGAGGGTCTTGAATCTCGTTCGTCACTTCTCGAATTCTTGCCATGGCTGCCCACGCTGCTCTTTTCCGGCGGTCAATTTCATATTGCAAATCATTTTGCATGTTAATCTCGCGACCGAGATAGATATATGATTTGACGTTTTCTACAGCTACGCCTTCAAGGTATACTTCACCATCGTCGCACCACTGATTCCTCATCGTCTGCGTTTTTCTCATGTTCATCGATAGTCCAATAGCTTTTCCAGCTTCACAGAGTTCGTTCAGAAGTGAATTCATCTCTCTGCTATTGTTGCTTATAAGGACTATGTCATCCGCGAAACGTAGGTTTGACAATTTCTTTCCGTCTACCGCCACGCCTTTGTTGTCCCAGTTCAATCTCACCATGACATGGTTAAGAGCTGTCGTAAACAATTTAGGGGAAATGGTGTCCCCTTGACGGACTCCTTTTTCGATTGGGATGCGTAGTTTCCTGTCAAACATCTGAATGATCGTCGATGTCCCACTATTTACATTTCTCTAAGACATTGACGTAGGTCGGATCGACTCCTGCATGTTGTAAGGCGTTCAGCACGGCATTTATCTCGACCGAGTCAAAAGCCTTAGTATAGTCAACAAAAGTGAGAATCAACGGCATTTTATATTCTTTGCATCTCTCGATCAGCTGTACGATCGTATGGATATTGTCCAGGCAGCAGAAGCCTTTCCTGAATCCAGCCTGCTCAGGGGGCTGGTAGGAGTCCAGAGTATCTTCTAGACGATTCAGTATGATCTTGGTGAAGACTTTATAGACGATTGAGAGAAGAGCTTATATGGGTCTATAGTTTCCGATGTCCTCCTTATCGCCTTTTTTGAAGATCAAGACCGTCTTGGAACACTTCCATTGTTCCGGTATCTCACCTTTTCTCAAATAGTGATTGAAGTGTTCCGCTAATACCTTTTGCATTGTGATTCCTCCTGCTTTCAAAAGCTCTGCTGATATACCGTCTGGATCCAGGTGCCCTTATTGAATTTTAATGACTCGATCACCGTTCCTACGACCTCTCACTTCAGAGATTAGAATTGGTGGAATCTCGTCATTTGCAGGGCACGGCGACCTTGGAACAACTGTCGTTGACCGGTACAGCTTTGTATAAAAGTCCATTACAATGCTCTCGATGCCTTGTCTCGAAGTCGTTGGCCGTCCTTGATTGTCCTTGAGGCATGTCGTTTCAGTGCGATAGTCCACCAAATCTTTTCGGCAGCATTTCAAGCTCTTCCTCTGCATTGCTGCTGTCATCAGCTTTTGTTTCCGGTATTCCTTTAGAGATTCTTTGACAGCTAAACGACATGCCTTATTGACAATCGACTTCTCCAGATGCGTGGCTGTAGGATCTCTTCTGAGTTCTCCTCTGCGTCGGAGGAGATCCTTGGCCTTCGCATTCAATCTTTCCGTCCTCGCCACTTGGTTCTCCGTAGCAGCTTCCGCACAGCGAAGGAGGTTGCTATTAAGCATCTCATAATCCTTTGTGACGTCTTCTAGCAACTCGCAGGAATTGGTTAATTATAGCTGTTTTCCAGAACTTCTCTTCGTTTGTAACGTGGGAACAGGCGATGGGGGTCCACGGTGTGTGTCTCTTTTGAATATCTGGTCATTGAGCCGAACAGTCATTCTGACTAGGCGATGGTCAGATCCACAGTCAAAAGAGGGCAGCACCGTCACATCCACCAGGCTCCACCTTCTGTTTGTGAAAACGTGATCCAGTTCCAAGTGAAGCTCTCCGTTAGGACTTTCCCAGGTCCATCTCCTGTTTTGAGGTTTGTCAAAAGAGAGTTTTTCCGTGATAGAGATTACAAGAGTACGCAAGATCCAGAACACGAGTACCATTATCATTTCTATTTCCTTCTCCGTGTTTGCCGAGCCTCCAGTTGCCATCATTTCCATTTCCAAGCGCAGCATTGAAGTCTCCGCATAAATACTTGTAATAAGACTTCTCTCTCTTGACTACCTCCTCCAGCTCATGGTAGAAAGCATCCTTTTCTTCTTCATCCGCTGAGTTCGTGGGGGCATAGCAGTTTACGATGCTGATCATCGCCTTCTGTCTCGTTTTCAAACGCAGCAGTGCGATCCGAGGGCTGAGGATTTCGTGTGAATGTACATTCGATTCGATGGAACGGTTCACAAGGAACCCGACCCCTCCGGAGTTTCTCACGAGATTCTTCTGCCCTATCACAAGCAGCTGTCCCTCATCCATCTTTCTTGTAAACGCCTCCTTCGCCTTTGTCTCCTGTAGACATATGATGTCGTACCTAATTTTCCTCGACTGGTGAAGAAGGGTTCTCAAGCTTGCCTCCATAGATAACGTTCGACAGTTATACGTACAGATGTCTAAGTAATCATTCATGCGTCGTCGTCGTAAGCGAGGTTGGCCGTTGACGCCCAGTACCAAATCTCTTCCTTCATCAGTAGCGGCGTCTCCGGGCGTCGTGGGAGAGCATATCTGAATCCGGGCCGATTCTCTTCTTTTAGCAAATGTCGTAGCATATAGAGCGGTCGAATACTCCTGAAGTGCCTTGCCGGGGCTATCCAGAGCCGCCCGTCCAGTTCCTAGACTGCGTGACCGTCGGTGCCGTTGGCCGTTCTCCAGAGAGAACGTTACGCCCTTCACTCAACGTTGAGGTGGCACGCATGAAGGGGCAATAAATACAAAATACAATATAAAATACAAGCAAAGTACCACACTGGGGAGCCGATTGATTTTTCATTTTTTATGAATAGTTCTATTTTTTTCAGTTTGGCCTGAAAATCTAACTCTATATCTGCTGAAATCTGATTCGATACGTTTTTTTCCTCAAAATTTCGCCGAAGATCTAACATTTTGCTCATTATTGTCTCGTTTTATTTCTACTACTCCCCCTGAACCCCCTGCACATTTTATTTCTCTACATTTGAGGGAGGAAAGGGTAGTTTGAGTTTTGTTAGGCTCGATGGGGACATTTTGCTCGTTCATTGCCGATGCTCTCAGTGAAGAGTTGCAAATGCTTGTAAATCTAGCGAATAGCCTGGGCTCTGTTGGGCTACTTTTGACGAGAGTTCTACAGATCTCATCAAGGTGAGACTTGTAAATCAACCGAGACTTGTAGAGAGGCTAGCGAACTAGGGAAATGTACCCCCCCCCCTGTCCAAGCCGAACAGCGCCCATTTGAATTATATCAGCCAGGGTTTCATTTTTGTTTTGGTTCACCTCCATATTTCTGATGTTTTACACTGTTACTCGCCGGGCTAGGTGTAACTCAATTGCGTCCACACGTTAAGCAGTAGTGTTTTGACGCCGTAAACGTCGTCGATGACCAGAAAACAACGCCTTCCGGCGCGAGGCCGCTTTACAACGCACGGCTGACGAGCGTGCTTGAGTTAGTCAGCCATGCTCGAATGGGCTCGGCTCGGCTCACTGCTGCCGCTTTTTGGGACATCAGATGGACGAGATATCGATTCGTACCCTGTAGGGTGCCTCCAGCGCCGTCCGCTTCCCTCCGTCCGCCCCTCTTGTTCTCGTCAGAGTTACGAATAAAATCAGTAGATTGCCGGCGTTTGTCCTCTGCAGGCAGGAAACTCTCGCCTAGCGCTAACATCAATTACTAGTAGACTCTGACGCTGTGTTCGTACAATGCAACGAAAAGAACCACATATGAATAAGCAATGGGGCGCTTTCGGGACACCATTATTCTGACTTTTCTCCAAACGACCTCACCTCAACCTGGCGGCGCCCTGGAATTGCCTCGGTCTGGTTCGCGAACCACTAATTACAGTGCTCCGACGAATGCAGGTTAACCACGGTGTACGCCAAAAACCTAGGGTTTTTGCATCGGAGCGCAGACGTCCGTGAAGGGGTCTACATCTCGTACAAGAAGAATACGCCGGCTTTGTAGCTTTCACTCTTCACTTTGTAGCCAGAAAGTTCCTGTTCGGGGTATTGGCTAACAGAGTACGTCCTGCGTTGAAGGTCCCTAGGGAGACGGGTCCTGTTTGGTGACTAAACGAAAGGGGTCGTATTCGCCTCTAAGAGAAAAAGTTCCAACTGTTGCCTTTTTTCAGGTATTCTCGTTTCCTGTGTGCCATTTACCCCCACACCTCCACTCAGCGGTAGTTTGTTAGGAAGAGGTTGAGGATTTTCCGGAAAGAAACTCAATTTTGAGAATTTTCCGGAAAGAAATTCAAGGAACTCTGGGAGAAGGGGTGGAAGGAAGATGGGAAAATCTGAGAAGACAATAGGAAGGATTGAGAAGAGGGTCATATCAGAGCAGGAAGTTCTGAGGAGGTCATTTTGGCGAACATTCTTCCCAACGGCAGGACGTGTGCGGGATGCCAGCAACACCATTTGGTGCCCTGAAACCGACGCCCAGCAAGAAATCACCATCTTGGAACCCCTGGGCCGATAGAAGGTGATTTACGATGTTTTGTGTTCAACGTCGTTGATGATGTTTCCTGCACAGCTAACGACATTTTCAACAAGGAAAAAACGTCAACACTAGCATGTCCCTGACCGGAAAACACCGCAGACTTCGTGGGAAGACCAATCTCCCCATTATAGGGGGTTTTTTCCGAACCATATGGAGCTGATAATGTGGTAGGGGGCTTGGTATCATGTTTTACTAGTCAATGATACGAACAAGTCAGCACGCTACTCTTGCTATTGTTGTTAATAGTTCGATTACTCAACAAAGCGATTTTAATTTCGCTGGCTCGTACTTGCCTCAATAACACTGACCCGCAGAAACGTACTTGCATTTGGACGGAAAACCTCTCAGTGGGGAGCGCTATCAGATAGGGTCGTGGGAAGAGTCACATTTCTTGGACATTGTGCATTGCTCTCACATTGAGCGTCCTTCACATTTCGCGGGAGCTTTTTTAAACTGCTTCTTGTTGTTTGTGTTGTAGGAGTGCTGGACCCAGAAGTGCAGCTTCATGTTCTTTCGTGGAACTCCAAGGTAATGGTTGGGCAGAAGTTTCTGAAGCCATGACAACTTGTTGATAGAGAGCGTTTTTTGGCGTCAACAGTTCCGATGCCTTACAGCGCTTCTGTTCAAACGAAGAGTCCAGGTCTGCTACACAAATAAGAATACAAACCAAAATTTTGTTCTTATTTTTTTACAAAATTTATTGGAACGTAGGGATTTCGAACATCAAGGCATCTCTTGCATTTCTCAGGAGTGCACAAGGAAATGGGCTACTTTTTCTGTGGCTCATGTATGTTCCCTTTCAACATGCACTGAACCCGTTTCGAAATGCGCTACATGTCCCACCTCCCTTGCCAGGGTTACAGAGTGCAGTTCGGCGACGGGGAGGAGAATTTCGCATTTTTGCTGCTTCTCACTGATGAGTCGAGCCACCAAATGGAAACCTGTAAATCTTAAGCCACGAAGCGATACCAGCCAAAGTTTGTAGAGACCGTTTGTCAACTCTTGTAAAGAGTACCTGCCTTCTTTTGTAAATTTATGCAAAATCTCATTCCCGAGCAATTTTATGAGCTTACAAAAGTCAACTGGTTTCACCAGAGTAAGACTTGTAAACCGGAACGAAGCAGCGAAAGTGCAAAATACCCCCCCCCCCACCTTCCGTCGCCGAACCTCGCCGAGCACCAGATCCTTATCCTTGGGAATACAGCGTCTGCTGCTCCTTCTCCGCTGGAACTTTATTTGAAAGATTCTTGCTTCTCTGGCTTGGTAATAATAGTCCTCCCACATGGGAACTGCCCTTGAATCGCCGTGCTTGGAAAAGGGGCTCCTGTGGGAAGCCGAAAGCATTGTGCAGTCCCACAAAGTCAAACTAGAGTTCTGCACAAAAACGCTTGCATGCCAGCTACGTATTTCACAGCTCTCTCGGCATGAAATGAAAAGATTCGGTTCTCTCTGGTGACTCTGATAGTAAATACTTGAAAATGCTCAAGAAGGCCGTCCACTGACAGGGCCTTAAATTCTGGCCGAACTGTACAGGGCCAGCCGTCTGTCAACGCTTCGATTCCATTTGTCGTTGCAAAAAGCCGTCGTTAGGGCAACCCATTATATTCTTCATCAATTCGATCGTCACCACTCGAAAACGGTCAAGTGGGTACCGTCACGCCTTCGTCGGTTCTCCCTCTGCTGACACTCATGAGTCATGGAGGCGAAAGGCGCAACCCATTTGGCGAAGGTCGTTTGCCAGACCGGAAAAGGGCATTCACACCTTTCACGAGGTACATGCAATCGTGTCCAATGCATTCGCGAACTCGCCATGGGGTCCCATGCAAAAAAGCTGGGTAACTTTGTGCGAAGGGGATTTCCCTGGCGTTGGTGTCAAGACATTTGGTTTCCCACGGGTCACTTCTTCTCGCCAATGAGAAAATGACCGACCCGCTTGGTTCCCAAAAGGTAATTTTCTCATCTGAGTGAGGAAACGACCCTGTGCTTAGA